TCGTCATCACTCTGTCTACTGCTCCTTGCGTTGCTATCATCTTCATTCTTTCCCTCATTGCCGGGATGGTTCGGAAAATGACCGTAATCGAAATCGGCCCGCGGCCCTGGCTGACGGTCAAACAGAGCTGGTTCCCCTCTATGGGGCTGTTCGTGACCAAATCTTTCGAAGGCATCAATTTCTTTTTATATGTCATACAGAGTAAGAACAGTTATATTAAACTAAAAAATAGCTGATCATCTCGTTATCGAAAGGTATTAAGAATTAAAAATACTAGTACAATTTGTTATGCCGAACAAGACAAAGTTTCTTCGAATTGAGAATTTTATTTAAATAAATAAAATCTGGAATTTCCTGTCACGATTTTCTTTCGTTCAATATTAAAATTTTTAGATCGATCAAAAGAAGAAAAAAAATTTTAAATCATCCTGAATCCTCCCCCCAAAAACATGGGAAATATACAAAAATTAACGCGCATTGCTATCGCGAAATCGCTTTTGATTTACCGATTTCTAAGAAAATTTTCTTGACGTGACAAGTTGAATTAACGTACCCAATTCATATGAATACACCATAATTTTTGATTTATATTCCTAATACCTGATTTTTCATTTATAAGAAATATCATTTACAAGTTGCGAGAATTCTAAAGATCTTTGGAGTAGACTCAATGTGTTTTCATTGAAAATGAAATTATTTTTAAAAAATCATATTTATTAGGATTAAAAATTTGTAAACAAACCGAAACCCTGAATTAATCTGACCTCTACCTATATCTATTTATATAACATCCGTCACTAATCCACAGTGTTGTTAAACGGCTCATTTTGAGCCGATTTTTAAAAACGGCTAACTTAGTATTTTATCCAGAAAAATATCACGCAAGCCTAAAGATTTTGAACATGGATGGTACAAAAGTCTAGACAGCTATTAGCGAAATTTGGAGGCTTAAAGCAATTTATTTTTCTGGCTTAAATATAGAGTTAGAACAACACTACTGATCCACATCAGGCCTTCCAGCCAGTGAATTCCTTTTTTTTATACCAAATATATATATGTGTAACTAAAGGAGCCCTAAAATTATGTGGAGGTGGCCCCAAATACTTTCTCTTGTAGTTATGGACCTAATGACTCTGAGCCATTTGTGCTGTCTTATAGACTCTGAAGCATAGTAAGGTAATGGCTAAATTTCGGTCAATTCGGCTCCATCCACAGGCGTGTCGTGAAGAAAATTCGTATGAAAGGACGTTTTAATTTATATTAGTCTCTTTCAAATTAGGGCTCTTATATTTTTTTTTAAGAAAAATTTTTTTTTAACCCCACAAAGTGATAGTTTTTGACTAAAAATTGGCTTTAGACCTGCAGGCCCGGCCCTAAGCCCGGGTACACAGGCTTGGCTGTATTTTAATTTTTTAACTATACCGCCTGAAATTTTAAAACCAAATATTGGAAATCGCCATTATTTAGCTATAAAAATTAAAAAATAAATAAAATATATTAAAAAATCCGGGCCGGGTCGAATAAATTTTTGAAAAAAACCGGGCCGGGCCGTGCACATGGTACCTCTGCAGGTCTCTGGTATTTATCCAAATATGCTCTGAAGTAGTGTTGTTAAACGGCTCATTTTGAGCCGATTTTTAAAAACGGCTAACTCAATATTTTATTAGGAAAAATATTATGGAAGCCTTAAGATTTTGTTCATAAGTGGCACAAAGGTTTGAACATCTATTAATGAAATCTCGAGGCTTAAACAATATTTTTGTGGCTAAAATATTGAGTTAGCCGTTTTTAAAAATCGGCTTAAATCGAGCCGTTTAACAACACTACTCTGAAGTGATAATAAATATTTTCTAATATTACTTTCCTGACCAAGTGTAAATCATTTTTAAAAAAAATATTTTTCAAGACAAAAAAAATACTTATAAGAGAATACGAGAAATAATATTTTTTACCGTCTTGCGAATGTGTGCTTGGAATGCGAGCAAAAATTAATAATAATAATATATTAAACACGACCAAAATTTTGTGATTGGACGATGATGAGTCGATAAAATAGGATGATTCATAGCTCATAGCTCAGGTTAAATGAATTGGAATGCAATAAATCTCTTCCTATATTTTAATCAATTTTTTGGGGATCTTATTAACATTTAGGGAAACTAAAATTCGTAAGAAAAATATATCATTTTGATTTTAATACCGTTGCTATATTTATTTTATTTTTAAAAGAAAGCTAAAAAAAAAATTGATTAGAGAATTTATATAAATATATTTTTTTTTATTCATAAGAGAATGGATTTGAATTTTTAAAACATCATCTTATCCTTTCTCACTGCCACTTCCCTAGAGCTTACACTATCTTTTTTTCGCAGTTCAAAAATGTTAGTTAAATCGAAAATAACGTAAAAATACTTTCACTTTTTATTTTTTTTAAATTAAAATAACAATGTAACTTTCTCAATTTTTTTGTAACAATAAAAAATATAAAATTCTTATAAAAAATTGTGTTTCTTTTTTACAAAATAAAGTACAATTATTTTAAATTAAAAAATAAATTAATCAATACTACTGGTTAATGATTAAGTTAGTTATTTCTGTCGAAATTGGGTCAAAAATTAAAAAAAACAAATTTATCTGGAATTTGAAAATTCAAAATAAAAAAAAAATCATATATTGTTTTAAAAAAAAATTTGAAAAACATGTAAAAATTGTATAAAAACGCGAATTTTATTTATTTTTTTTATTAGGTTAGTAATTTAAAAGTAAAACACGATATTTTTCATTTTACGATAAAATTTAAATATTTATATAAGTCTTATTTTATTTTCATTTTATCAATGCGACAATTTCTTATGCAATTATATTTAATATAATATTATTTTTTTCTTGTAAAAAAAAAAGTAAAAGTTATTTTAAAATTTTATAAATTGATGTAATAATTGGTATCATATTATTTTTTTTATTAAGTATTATAAAGCAGTTATAGTCCCAGTTCAGAGCTGGCCGGTATTAAGATTTTAAAAAATAAGGGTTTTAGTAATGGCGAGCCTTGTAAAAAAAAAATTAAATTAAGAAAAATTATCTAAAATTCTTGGTAAGACCTGGCAGGAAGAAAAATATATACATGTATATAATATATATGAGCTCGTTCGATATAGCCCCAGTTCAGAGCTGGCCGGTATTAAGATTTTAAAAAATAAGGGTTTTAGTAATGGCGAGCCTTGTAAAAAAAAATTAAATTAAGAAAAATAAAATTCTTGGTAAGACCTGGCAGGAAGAAAAATATATACATGTATATAATATATATGAGCTCGTTCGATATAGCCCCAGTTCAGAGCTGGCCGGTATTAAGATTTTAAAAAATAAGGGTTTTAGTAATGGCGAGCCTTGTAAAAAAAAATTAAATTAAGAAAAATAAAATTCTTGGTAAGACCTGGCAGGAAGAAAAATATATACATGTATATAATATATATGAGCTCGTTCGATATAGCCCCAGTTCAGAGCTGGCCGGTATTAAGATTTTAAAAAATAAGGGTTTTAGTAATGGCGAGCCTTGTAAAAAAAAAATTAAATTAAGAAAAATTATCTAAAATTCTTGGTAAGACCTGGCAGGAAGAATAATATATACATGTATATAATATATATGAGCTCGTTCGATATCTGATATATTACATAAATATTTTTTAAAATATTTTACTGTTTCACCTATAAATTCAGAGTATGATAGAAGAGTGATCCTCTCTAAATATCGGAAATAAAATATTAGAATAGCTTAAAAATACGCCATTAACACAAGGTTGAGTCAGTATCCCGGGTCAAAGAATATCAAGGGCACAAATTAAGGATAACATATTGACGTTTTTCTTTATTTTGGCCAGGTGCCATAATATTTTAATCTTGATCATAAATTTATCCGCGGGTTTCCGGTTCAAGGATCTCATGGATTCTATATTAGCATAAGTTTCACAATTGTATTTTGAAATGGTTCCGCCAGCATCTTTTTCATACCCTTATTTATAGCGTACACAAATTGAGCGTTTACGTTTTGCGGTAATTTTTTAATAAAAATAAAACGTAACGAATTCCTTGTTTAAATTGAGGTTGCCTTTTTTATTAATATCGTCGATTCAAAATTTTAAATAAGTTTTAAAAAAAACGGATTTGTATTTGAAAGTTATATTATCGTCTGCCTTCTTATTTTTCCTTTTTAGGATATAAGTTATTATATTACATATTTGAAGAAATGCCTACACTATAGAATAAGAGCCACCGCCCCTTCCTCACGAAATAATGAATATTTTGGCCATTTTCATTTACTTAATAAAAAAATATATATAAGATGAATAAATTTTTAAAATTATATTTAAATTATCATTTATAAATATTATATAAATTCTGGGTAAATATCGAATAAATTAAGATTAATATTTACTTAATTACCAATTATATGATATATTGCATGATTTTATTCATTACCTGATTCATATTCTAAATCTGTTAATACACCATAGAAATTTATAATCAAAATATGCAAAAACAAATTTAAGCCTTTCAATGCCCTGCCTAAGAAAAAACTTCTAGTTAATGCCCTATTTGTAGCAGAGAATTAATTTAATAAAAAAATAGGTGGTGATAATCAAAGACTCGCGAGATATGAATGAGAGAGCTTTATTTAGGCTGCGTCATGTCTATTATATTAATACCCGATTTTTAAATCGCAACTCAAAAATCAACTACGTCGCAATATCAAGGTTGCCAAAGTATTTTACCCTATTCAAAACATTTTTGCATCTTATGATAATCGTAATTCAAAATATTAAGACAGTTATGCGTTTAAATAAAAATATATTTTACATTCGATAATTGCATACAAAATACAATAATTAATTCATTTTTTTAAAATATATATTAAATCTAGTAAATGACATATCAAAATTGTTAGAAATGCTATAAAATATTACATTTGATTTCTGAGTTTAAAAAAAAAGTTTAGGGATGAATTATATAATTTATTTTTTTTTAAAAAATGGTTATTTCATAAGTTAAAAATAATGTATAAATGTTCAGTCAGACCGTGAGTCTGCGTTCTTGGTGAGAAAACTGATAGAAAGTGAAGGTAACAACGCATTTGTTAGCAGATGATTCTTTATCGCTGGGGTCGTCGGCGAAGCGACTCGCCGAAAATGCCGAAACGAATATGGAGTCGCGAGAATTGGAAAGCGATTTTCTATCGGCAGCGTGATGCCAGTCAGTGACGGGGCTGGTGCAGTCCGTGCCTTCCGGAGGCGGTCGAATTTGATTGACGGTAACGAGGCGGGAATTTGATCTAAAAAATGAAAATAAAAGTTCGGTGAGCAAAAATGCTAGTTTTTATTTTGATAATTTAAATTTTTTTTAGAAAATCAAGGTAACGAATGAGATGGTGCTTATTAAATTAATGATTCATTTATTAAAATACATTTTGAAGCGTCATAAAGATCAGCTGGTAAAGCTATTTTAGTTCGCCATATATTACGCGAGAATTTAAAAAAATAAATTATTTTTAACCGAGATTCGTCGGGTTGATTAACGTTGCCGAGATTATTAGTATTTTCGGTTTTATTATTCGGAATTATGGTTAGGCAACGTTTGCAGCGCAATTTGTCGTGAGTGTCGCTAAGAGACGTGCAAGAATTAGGGGGAAGGGAAAAGAGTTCCTTTAGTTCCTCGCGGGAATAATGCTGATCGGTTGAATTCAAGGAAGAGGAAGCGGTGTTATCTTCGATTACGCAGTCGCTCAGAGACTTTTTATGGGATTGACGTTGGAATATTTTTTCTTCAATCGTTCCGGTCTTTGTTGATTTAATAAGAATTTTTTTTAAAAAAAACGTAATCTGGTGTTACCCTTATTCCGAATTGATTAAAATGTCATAGAAAATTTTATAGAATAAATATTTGACGAAACACAAAACTCACCGCCAAAAATCGGTAAACAAAGCATTGAGACTTCTTTTGACCATCTCTCCATACCCTGGCCATTGCTTGGGAGTCGTTAGCTGGATTCCAATCGGGATCGAACATAATGAGCCGATTAGCGCCTATGAGGTTGAGGCCGCATCCGCCAGCTTTACTACTCAGCATAAACACGAACGTTTTATCTTGTTGGGCCATGAGATTGTTGTCTAAATCTTCGTTTACCGAATCCTTCCCAGCACCTTTCGTAGCACCGTTAAACTTCTGGACCAATTTAGCCCGTTTCTTGGTAGTGCACGAGCCGTCTAAACGTAGATACGAATATCTTCGGGGAGACAATTTTAAATAAAAGGAAGTTAAAATTTCGTATATTCAAATCGAAAATGAAGATTTATAGAAAAGGGAATTTAAAAGAATTTACCCTCTGAGCCGGCATAGCTTTTCGAACATATCGAGAGTCTGCGTATAATTGGACACTAGCACAATTTTGTCATCCGTTCCTTCCTTAATCTTGATCAGCAGTCGGTCAAGCAATAGAGTTTTGCCTATAAAATGTTTTTTTAAATCAATCAATATCCAAATTCATAAATTGCTCGAGTAATTCTTGGGTAAAGAAATGTTTCGCGGCTATAGAACCAGCCCCGGTTTTGTAAAATGCTTTCTTTCTTAGAACGCTATAAACGTTAGTTTGGCTTTAAAATATTAACTATTTTGAAACAGTTGGAAAATTCTGATATATGGGGTCAGTTCCGGTGATGACCCAGGATTATAATGATTCGTATAGTGCCCATAAATTTTTGTCAATTCGACTCTGATTTTAATTAATTTTATAGGAAAGTTTTTTTAAAAAAAATTCTCTGCCATCTGGTTCACTATATTTGATTTACTCCAGGGGAGGTGCATATAACTAAAGCATCGTTCAAATTTTTGACATCCTAGATCTTATATCTCTGGAGACATTAAGGGTCAACGTATGAAAAAATGATTTATTCTTATGCTCATGAAGCGTCAATCAATTAAAGATTTACTAAAAAATATACCAAATATTTTAATAATGATTTTTAACATCAATAAATAATAGTTTCTAATTCTATTATTTTTATTTTTCTTTAATGTGGCGGTTCATTAAAATTTTAAATCCTTGTAAAAAATAATGAGTTTCTCTGATTTTTATAAAATTTTAAGAAAATGTCACTAAGACCAATCAAAAGTTGGAATGCTAAAGTTTCGATTTCATGAGAAAAATCGAAAAAAAAAACTAAAATGAGGTTTTTTTTTTAAAAAAAATTTGATATATATACAATTAATTTTTCTAAATATTATTTAAAATGTATGCATAATAATAATATTTTTCAGTTGTAAAAGTAACTGAAATACTAAAATGGAAAAATATGGTTAAGTTTGAGTAAAAGGTTCATCGTATCCTCTGCTACGATCCCTGGAAGGGCCATATATTATTATATCATTCAGATATACACTTGCAAATTGCTAGTACTATTGATTGTAACGTGTATGCGTATCGCATTTTACTCTGAACATATTTCTGGCTTTTTCGTGTGGTGGTACGCTAAAGAAGGCTGACTTTAGAGCGATTTTGTTTACCCATCTTGCATTGTACAGTTTCTTTGAGATAGTTGGTAGCGTTTTTAGCTTGAATGAATATACTATAAAATTGTTGGACATTAAATTAAAGTCGGAAATGATTCGTGGTTTCCCGTCAGACTTTGGGATTACAAACATCGGTGAGCAGATTGTGGATTCATCTCCTACCTGCAATATGTCGGCTGTGATCATTTGTCTAATGAGGGGTTCGTATCTGTTTGGTACCCTTATATAAGACGCGTCTCGTTTTAGATCTTCCAGTCTCCCTCCTCTCTATAAACGCGGTGGGTAAAACCCTTCTCTTGCTACTTTCTGGACAAAGTTATGTTGATCGTCTCTCACCACACTCTATTCACCTCTGCTTTTCTTGTCTTTCGTAATATGTTTAAGATAGATCTGGGAAAGCCTGAAGTGGATGGCTGGGATCCACCGTTATCATTATGTATCAATGACTTAATATTCTTGACAAAGGAGGTGATCGATCCAGATGGTATCGATTTGTCTCGATATTCGAGGTCTTCAGGTTCGACGGTTGATCCCAATCTATTCTTGCCGTCAATGAGTGAAGTTCGATGCCATAAAAATCTTGTTTGTAATGCTCGTTAAGAAAGAATTCTAGACCGGTTCGAAATCTAGCTTGATGTCATTACCTTCAGCGATTGCGACTTATATCGTCTGTGTAGTTCGCTTCTTCATTATGTCCATCCAGATGTCGTCGATGGAAGTAGATGTGGGTGGCGGTGTTGGAAAATGGTCTATAGGCGAAATGATTGCGGACCTCAACTCCCTTATTAGTTTATTAAATTTTATTATCCACCGGAGCTGGCATTTTTCGTCTATTCTAAGGCTTACTAGAGCTCCTTGCTGACCGATGCGAGCCAGTAGGCATCTAAGCCTTTTTCTTCCCTTGTGTGTGAAGCCGCAGTTTGGTATTCACCACGAGGTTTGAGGCCCAGTCCACTGGTGGGATATCGAAAGGACTGATAGGTTGAGCTAGACCTTGTTACTCGCGGAGGTGATTCCCTCCATGCCATACTTGTCGTAGAAGGATATATTGTTGGCTATAGCTACATTCCAATTGTCTTGGATAATGATATAGATGGCTACAGATGGAAAACCCAGCTGACTTACCATCATGTGAATGGATACAAAATGTAGAATGGAAGAATTTGCACCTGAGGAACATTACCTTGACAACTCTAATACGATATAACAAACTCTCTGAAAGGTTTATTATAGTGTTAAATTTGTTAATTTTGTGTTTATAAATATTGGTGGCCAAAATTATTTTGAGACACTTCTGATTTTATAAAATCATGTGAAAGATGTCAGAAGGCCAATATAAGATTTCCAAAATTTCTTCTACTTTGAATCCAATAGATGTACCACCTCTTCCATGCCTGCCTACTGTAGAAGAAGGCTACACATGTATTGCAGTTGCCTCTGATTATTTCACAAAATGGGTTGAGGCAGAACCCATAAAATCAAAGACAGCTGAAGCGACTTGTAAATTTATCTATGGTCTGATTTGCTGCCATGGCTGCGAAACTGTAGATCAAATTATATAAATATATATCGGTTAAAAAGGTGCATTTATGATAGTGTATAAACTTTTGATTTTATACAATATAGATACAAATCAATGATCAAGGCCGAGAGTTTGTGAATGAAATGGCCACTAGACTACATAAAATGACAGGGACGGAGCAACGTATTTGCAGTGCATACCATCCTCAAGCTAATGGGTTAACAGAAGGGAATAATCGTACATGCTCATTATTCTTTTTAACAATTCACTCTTGCCAAAATCATTTTCAATATTATTTACATCAGAGGTCTCCGTGATCATTATTTATTTCCTTAACAATATAAGGCTCAGTTTTGGAATTTAAGTCTGATGGAAGCTTTGCGTTCCGACCATACATCATATAACATGGGGTAAATCCTGTAGATTTATGTACACTGGTTCGCATTGCAAACAGTACCCCCGGAAGAACCATTGTGTTTGATCATCTCTCAAAACCTTACATTAAGTTTTGGATAGTAAGATTATACCTTTCTGTTAACCCATTAGCTTGAGAATGGTATACACTGCAAATACGTTGCTCCGTCCCTGTCATTTTATGTAGTTTAGTGGCCTTTTCATTCACAAACTCTCGGCTTGATCATTGATTTGTAGCTATATTGTATAAAATCAAAAGTTTATACATTATCATAAATGCACCTTTTTAACCGATATATATTTATATAATTTGATTTACAGTTACGCAGCCATGGCAACAAATCATACCATAAATAAATTTACAAGTCTCTTCAGCTGTCTTAGATTTCAAGGGTTCTGCCTCAACCCATTTTGTGAAATAATCAGAGGCAACTCCAATACATGTGTAGCCTTCTTCTGAAGTAGGCAGGCTGCAAAAATCAATTCTTATTTGAGCCCATGGAAGAGGTGGTACTTCTAATGGATTTAAAGTAGAAGAAATTTTGGAAAATCTTGAATTGGCCTTCTGACATCTATCATAGTGTCTTTTCCTCATTCGTTATTAAGAATAAAAAGCCATCGTAAAATTAAGAATTTACGTTATCCACCTAAATTTGAGGCAGTTCTTGGTGACGGAAATTGTTATTATAGCTGCTTGAGCAAAGAGATTACAGGCAGCGAGGATCATCATGCAATTATAAGGGGATCTATTATCTCTTATATGATGCACTTGGTAAATAATGATATTTTAAGTAATTTTATGGGAAAAGACATAATCAAACATTTAGTTGATACAAAAAACATCAACTTGGAACGTGGGCTGATGAATTAGATATCGTAGCATCTGCCACGTATTTCCAAACGCCAATCATTATATATTGTAAAAATGGAAATGAAATACATTAGATATTCCGCATTATCAAAAATGGATTGTATTAAAAATTTTTAATTTAAATATATATTTGATAAATGTATCTTCAGATCATTTTAATCGTATTATAGTGTAATAATATACACTCAATTTTTTGTGATAATTAGGTTTCCTTTTTTGGGATATATTTTATTTTTATAATATTTTTCTTGTTTTTTTTAAATAAAATTATGCATATCGTTTTTATTTATATAGTATTCAGCCAGTTTTAATATTATTGCAAAAAAAAATATATATACAAACAAAAGATCATTTTAATCGTATTATAGTGTAATAATATACACTCAATTTTTTGTGATAATTAGGTTTCCTTTTTTTGGGATATATTTTATTTTTATAATATTTTTCTTGTTTTTTTGAAATAAAATTATGTATATCGTTTTTATTTATATAGTATTCAGCCAGTTTTAATATTATTGCAATAAAAAATATATACACAAACAAAAATAGTTGTTTCAGTTAAAAGATTAATTTAAAACATTAGAATTTGATTTTAAATTTTATATCTATATAAAATATTTTGTATGCCATAAGTGTTAAATTTTAATCAACTAAATATATAATTATATATGCATCTAACAAATAAAATGAAGATTTTAAGAAGTTAAGAGGAAATGATTAATCAGAGCGATAGATAGTGATTGAGATTCTTTGACGTAATAGAAACTCCTATTTGTTTGTGATTAGCTTACTTTTGTCTATTAAAATTTTAAGGCTTGAGATTCCAATAATACGATGTATGAAGAAAACTCTTATACATTGAATTTATTTAAAATTTTCTAAAGGATGGAATTGGATAAACATAATTTTAACCATAAAAAGAAAATTATTACAATAATGAGTAAACAAATAAAAATTATATAGGATATTAGGATGTGTAAAATAAATAAACTCCCTTAAAAAAATTATATAAAGGAATAGATAATCATTTTTATAACCATTTAAATCTATTTTAAACTATTAAATCTTATTTTATTTTTTTAAATAAATTTTTACAAATCGAAAAGGGCCGCCAATATTTTTTGAAGCGATGAAAAAATATATAATAATAAATATTTTACAATTTTTAATGGCCGCCAATATATTTGAAGCGATTGAAAACATCTCTTAAAAATCAATACAGTACGGTATTGAATCTACAATGGGTATTGATTTCACAATCCTACACCGGTCCGTACCCGACTCGAACGGGCTTCGGGCTGAGCCTATTTTAAAAAAAAATCGGGTTCCGGTCGGGCCTAATATTTTTTAAAAAAAAATCGGGTTGGGCTTTGAAATTTTTTTAAAATTTCATTGTTTGAATTTTTTTTGTGTAAAATAAAAAAATATTTGATTTTATTTATAGAAAACTAGACGCCCATACAACATATATATTTTATTTTGAGTATATAAAAATGAATTTCTTGCCAGGTCAAAATTTTTAAAGACCGGGCATGAAAAATTAGGTCCGATGCAGATCACTAATATTAAATTTTAAATGCGCTATATTATTGCATGAGAAATATATTATTCAAATAACGTTGAATATTATAACCTTTTAAAAATATAAAAAACATAACGAGTATATAGAATTAAAAATGGTCAGCCATATCGAAAAAAATTACTTAGAAAAATATTAATAAAATAATTAGAATCATTATCGATAGTTTTAGATAAATCTTTAATGAAATGACAATCAATAAGCGTAAAAAAATTAAGGTCCATTTTTGTACTTTGACCCTTGATATCTCTTATAAGAGCTGGGGGTGCTATAATTTTCACACTGCTTTAGTCTACAGCCTAATTTAAATTCCAAATTTTACCCAAGTCCCAATATGTCCCCAGATAATCATGCTTCTTTTATTCGATTAAAAACCATATGGGGCATATAAATTTTCCTATCCTTAATTTGGATTGGATATACTAATTGAATTAAGATGTTAAAATACCCGATAATTCTGGCATAAAATAATTTTGAAATCCGGAGGGAAATAATGAAGCGCATCCCTCCAATCCATCTTCTCCTTTGACACACTTGTCATATATCAATTCGGGATCTATTAAGTTTATAAAATTTTATGATACACCATAATAATATATCGTAAGGTCTAGATCAATTCAAGTCTTTTTGATTAATAAAATAATAAATCCATCTTCCAAGTCAGAAGCCATAAAATTATTTATTGAAGTCCCAGGGCAATCATCGGCTATTTGCCTAGTGGTGCTAAACAAGGTACTCATAAGAATGATATTTAAAAAGAAGATAAATTGGCATTTATATGTTACATTTAAATTTATTCTTGAAAAAAATATTAATTAATTTTAACCCGTTTACCCTTCCCCTTTGACGCCAATGGCAATCATTGATTATCCAAATTTTTCTAAGTCCTAGTAGCTTAATAATATCTATAAAAAAATCAGAGGGAAAGTTATGCCGTGAATCTCAAAAGCGTCTAAAACGATAACTAAAATTTGGTCTCTCTATTAGTGTTGTTAAATTACCTAACTGTAGTCAACTATAAAACAACGTACCTATGTATTTATCCAAAAATATTCGAATAAATCTTCAAGTTGAGACTCAACTTAGAGGCTTAATTCAATTTTTTAGGCTAAAAGTTTGACTAAACCACAATAGAGATGGTCAAAGTTAGGTGATTTAACAACACTAAAAAAAATGCACAAGGATTAAAATTTAAAACACATTATTTATTAATAGATTAAAAGTATTTAATAATATAAATAAAATTATATTTCATACAGTAATCCTTGATATTACATGCGTTGATCTCATAATAAAAACGTCTCTAAAAAAATTTATTCTGATAGCTATTTGTTTTAGGCCATTTATCGATTCCCTAAACCGCTCCTCAGATTTTTTTTTGGGATCTAGGTAACCCGCCCCTCTCCCACTTTTCCGGGATATCTCATATGGGAATAAGAAATTAGGGTAGATTCCGTTTTTACTTCCCGTCTTCCCTCATATTTACTCTCCTGCTAAGTCCCATAAAATCTGATTCTTCTTTGTATAAAAAAAAAATAATCATATTTATTATGAGAAGTTTTACGATTGCACAATTTTTTGAGGAGAGTGATGGATGCCAAAGTTGACGAAGACATTTTGAGATTGTGATTAGATTTGCAGTGAAATTCTGTCAAGATCTTTTGATATAATTGACGTTGAAGTGACGATAATTGACAGCACACTATCATTTCCACTTTTTAACATAAAGAATATTTATTTATTTATTATTTTTTCTAAAAAAAAAAAATTAATCATCAAGTTTAATTTTATGATAAAAATTTTATAAAACTTTTAAAACTCACAAAAAATGATTCGCCCTCCTTTGTTAGAGAGAGTGCTCAGATTAAAATAATAAAATTATTGCTGTCAAAGTTTCCCTTTTCAATAGTAACGTAATACCTGTCTTTCTTTGTCTTCTCAAATTGAATTATGTTATATGGCATCATTTCAATATTACATCAACACAGAAATATGCAGAGGTCTGGCGCAAATTTTTTATTGTCATTTTTAAATAATTTTGGCGGTATTTTACAAATTGATTCAAAAAAAAAAAATTGAAAATTAAATCTTTTTTTTTTTGAGAATGATTAAGAGACTTTTGACAAAATTTTATTGTAATTTTTTATGTTAAAAATTGTTTCATAAATGAAAACACAAATATATTTTTTTTTTCAAATTTGATATAATCGTCTACTTTAATCATCAGATTAATTATACTCTATTGGGAAAAAAAACCAGAATAACTTAAACATGTTTTTTTTAAAGAATTATAATGTAAGGAAAATAATAATAGTAAGAAAAAGAAGCCAATAATACTTATTAAATATTCCATTCTAAGCATAAGTATTTATTTCAAAACCTGAAGAAGTATCATTTGCACGGCTCGGCTAAGATTTTTTCCGGCCGGAGTTTTATATTTTTAGGCCCGACCCAGTTATATTAAAAAAATTATAATACGACAAGGCCCGCATAACCCGGGCTGGACCAGAAGGGTTCTGATTTATTTATTACATTTTTATATAATATTAAATTAAATTTATAAATAATTTAACAAATAGGAAGATATTTTTAGAGCCCCTCCCCCCACTCTTATTATTCCTATCAGGATAACAAGATTTCGCGGGCTTCTTTTTGAGATTAAAAAATAACTGCCGCGAATATGAGAGTGGAGTCTCGCACAATTTCGCGCGCGTTCTCCATAGGATGGGTGGTAGACCGACGTGCTAAATGAAAATAAATAAAACAAAAATCTTATAAATTTTTGCGAGATTAGGGATCAAAGCAATGTCTGCAGGATCATGTCTATAAAAAAAATATTTTTATAAAAAAGTCTAGTTAGAGATTAAAAAAATAAATCAGACTGGACTATTAGGTCCAAAAAATTAATTTTTTGAATTTGGGGGCGAACCAAATGATTGGACATTATCTATAAAAAATGGCGATTACTAAATTTTCGAATTATTATTATGTATGTAAATAAAATATAAATTAACCTTTAACGGGCAAATACTGAACTAATAATGCTGAGGTTCTCCTGATTATACATTTGTTGACGATATCCAGTAACTCCTTAAGCTTTTCCGCACTCCTAGCACGTTCGGCGTCACTAGCGTAAGCGTCGCGGCCCTTTATAATCGGGTTTTCGAATTTTCTTTTAAATTCTTGTGCCGATCCTATTAATTATATTTGGGGTTTAGTTGAATCGATTAGTATTTTTTTAAAAAATACCATCTAAAATGGATACCTTCCTATAAACATATGCAATGACACTAATACTAAATCTTTAGACTGACAATTTATTTATTAAAAATGTAAAAGTCAGCTGTAGTCAATATCAATTGTCATTGGTTGTGGTAGACGTTGAAAGATACTTTTCAATGGCGGGTTTCAATGATTACTAGTTCTAGACTAATAAATTCATTTTAAAATTTCCAGGAAACCGTCATAACAATGCTTAAAATGTTGTTCATTTGAGATGGTCTATTAATCTTTTTAAACCTTAATTTAAGAGAGTTCCGGAAGCCCTCGGAATCGCGTTAAATTTAGAAACCGGAAATCAATTTTTTTTAAAAAAATTGTAGAATCTAGAATCAAAATAATTTACTTTTTTTATAAAAAAATATTTAAACCGGAAATAGAATTATTATAAGCCCGGGTTCCAAACTCTTAGTGAAATATTTTTATCAGATATTTAGAAAGCTTACGAATTTGTTTTTTAAAGATATGAAAGAATACAATTTTAATAAACCCATAAATTGTTTCTCAATTTTGTTAGATATCATTTACTGTCTCCATCTTCTTTGAGTCTTTTTGATACCCATTCAGCCAGAAAATATCACATTTATTTTATTCTTCTTTCACGTGTTGTTAAAATGCTTAAAAAATGGCTAACCCAATATTTTAGCCAAAAGTTACAGCGCAGACCTCGAGATTTCGTTAATAGATGCCCAAACCTTTCTGCCATTTAGGGACAAAATCTCCGGCTTTTGTTGATATACTTTGGATGAAATATTGGGTTAGGGGGAAAATAGAGCCATTCAACAATACTATTTCCTTTTCTTTTAAAGGAAATTAAGTTAGTCTTAATATTTACGATATTTCGTTTGGTTTAAAAAAAATATGAGAAATAATTTCAGACCTAATATGCCAGCATTGACGAAGTGAATCAGGCTAAAATACTCCAGCAGATCGTTTTGTATGGGCGTACCAGACAACAATATTCTCAATTTGGCGGCAGCGTTATCCAGAGCTTTGTAGGTTTGGTTTTCACAATTTTTGAGGCGGTGACCTTCGTCACATATGATGAGCCTACGCAGGGCCATCAACTCGTTCGGCGTGTACGTTTTTACGGCGTTTGCTTCGCTTTGGTATCATTGTGTTAATGAAAAAAAATATAATTCTTTATAATTAACAGGTTAATAAGTTGGCCAATTCTATTCTTCCTTAAGAAGAATCTTTTTTTCATTCATCCCTTCTTTCCAGGAAAAAAGAATCTTTTTTTCATTCATCCCTTCTTTCCAGGAAAGAAGAATCTTTTTTTCATTCATCCCTTCTTTCCAGGAAAGAAGAATCTTTTTTTCATTCATTCATTCCTTCTATATCTCTATTTTATCGTATGAAGATATAATCTTTTTTTCATTCATCCCTTCTTTCCAGGAAAGAAGAATCTTTTTTCATTCATTCATTCCTTCTATATCTCTATTTTATCGTATGAAGATATAAAATTCCCTTACGCTTCATCACACTTTGATTTATTATCGGGGTCATTTTTGAGGCAATCTTTGAGAGTAAAAATTTCGGAATGGATACGAAATAGTTCGTAGGATATGACTAGGACCGGGTACATGGGAGGTTTCGACCATCGCGGTTTAGTTAGGGTTGGTGATGGCGTTGACGGAGAGGATAAAGGGTTTCCGCTTGAGAAACTGAAGACCGACTGCTGTTGGCTAACGAAAAATCTCAAATTCTTTTCAACCTTTTCTTTATTCCCTTCTGGGACCATTACCTTGATCCTATCGCCCAACCATTTTTTAAACTCGTTTCTCCAGTTCTACAAAAAAAAATAATAGGTGTTATGATTTATAGGGAACCTGTTTTGTTTATAATGGGGATATATACCTGAATTAAAAAAGATTGGAAATGATGTAATTAGATTTTTATCATCTGCATACATATCAGAGACCTGCAGAGGTAACATTTGCATGGCCCGGCCATTTTTTTAAAGTCATATGAGAAACTGATTTAGAATGAGGCAGCTTCTATATAAAGATAATCAAACAGTCACATTTGAAAAGCCTAGTTTAATTATTTCGAGGTATATCAAATAACTACAAAATATTTAAACATAAAAATAAATTTATTTAAAAATCTTAGGGCCTGTGACCATAATAAAAGGTTCGAGAGATTCTGAGCTTTTAGTGGCCATATATAAGAAGCATTCAGATGACGTGGCTAAATTAAGGGACCCTGAAACATCCCCTAGGTTTATATTTCTGGAGATATATATTTCGAAACATGATCATCAGAAGGAAAAGAATTCAAATCTTTACATTCATCATTTCAAGTCAATGAGACCCATTTATCGTTTTTAAAATAATAATTTGGATACTCTAAAAAAATCTTGTCTTTGAAATACCAATTTCATAAAATTTTGAATATCCAATTAATTAGCTAAAAAGATACTTTAAAAAAAAATTAAGTATCTATTGTTTTTCGATATGATGGTTTTAACCTTCTATAAGGATTTAATTTGAGTTTTTCAAAAAAATATTTCGGAATATTTTAATGTAGATGGAATGGTATAATTCTAAAAAAATGATTTTTAAAATCGTTCCGAAATAATATAACTAGAAAGCAAATGATAAAAAAAAATAGACACGAAATTTATTCACATTTTTTGAAAACGCTTGCAAGACTTAATTCGTGACTCGCTATCATTTAATATAATGAGCTCGCGCGTTAGTATGGTCTTATCCTAAAATATTATATTTCGAAACTTTATTCTAAATCGTGCGCAAAACAATTTAACAATTTAAAAATTAAAACCTCGACAAGACTGCTCGGTGTGACGATAATGACTAGATCAACGGTGCACCGGTATTGCGGTGCCGAACTTTGGGTAAGCAAGGTCCAAACGAGGGCCACGCATTGAAGCGTCTTCCCGAGCCCCATATCGTCCGCCATGAGGCAACCCCGGTTACCGTCGATAATGGCGCCCGTCACGCAGTCCCACATAAACTTAACGCCCTCCCGTTGATGGGGTCGTAACCGAGTGGATATTACGGGGTCTACCACGACGTGGATAGGGCGATATCGATCGCTATAATTTTTTTAAAATAAAAGCTGCTTGAAACATGAACCAGATCAAATTAAGAACCGAAATCCTTTTAAACTTTTCGGGAAGCGGTTAACCAGTTTGAAGGAAATTGGTAACAAAGGCAGAGGAATTTGGTGTAAATATGGACAAATTTACTGGAAAAAGGGATTACATGTATTAACGAAATCATTTGTAGGATTACTATCCAGGTGAAGTAGCTGTGATATATAGTGCTGCCTTCGATCCGTCAATAATTCCTACTCCTAATTGAGATGGAGTGAGAAGATGATAGACCTAATACATAAATCCCGGATAAAAACATTTTGGCGACAAGACGCCGAATGTCGAACAAATTGTTATTGGTCGGGTATTTTTAGTTATTGTCTTCTGTAAGGTGTTTACTCTGGCTCCAAAAATAATGAGCGAAACAGTGTTGAAAACATCATCTTATAAAATTCTGCTGCAAAAATTATTGATTTGGGTAGAATGGATACTTGTGAGTTGATCAAATGAGAATTTTTGTCCTGGAGGAATTAAAGTCGGATTCCATCAAGAAGTGAGAGGAGTTACGACGAAAAGATAGGATTGTTTTCCTTACTTCGTCAGAAGTGTAATAGGAAGCACATTTAAAACAAGGTTGTTGAGTAATTAGTGTTGAAGTGAAGGAAGTGTGATTAGAAAAAGGAGCTTGAGATACTTATGGCTTTTGAGGACTAAAACTTTCTCATCCGTTTCAATTAGGAGTAGATATTGGAGGATATAAGGCTGAAATGCATCTCACAAGATTTCAAGCACTCTCTATCATAACCCATTCTAAATCAGCTAGCATTCCTTAGTTGCATTCAACAAGATTATCTACTTGGATCTCTTATATTTTTGTCTAGCGATTAATGAGAAAAATCAAAACCATTAATCCTGTACATTCCCTTTCATTTCCTGGAATATTGAAGATGGTATCATTAATGAACCACAAGATTAAATCAGCAAGCCAGTGGACATAACAATAGAAAAGGGATTTGGCCTCATTCGCAACACCAGTAAAGCCGAATCAAGCAATAGAATTTTTCCGCTAGCTCTAACAATTTAAAAAAAAAACTAAATCATTCTATTACATATTAAAAATTTAATTAAACTTTTCCGTTTTCAATTTCTCGGCTTGAGTAAGCGCGGGCGGCCAGTATAACACCAATGCGCCGTCTTCATTGGGATCGTGAGGGCATGCCCTAACATTATCCCTTTTTATTCCCAATATTCCGGATCTAAGTGGTCCTACAAATTTAAATATATGCGGGAGGGAAAAATATCATTTTTTAAAATGAAATAAATATTTAATTCCTTAAAATAAAATAGACATTTAAATTTTTATAAATAAAATAGATATTTAATTCCTTAAAATAAAATAGACATTTAAATTTTTATAAATAAAATAGATATTTAATTTCTTAAAATAAAATAAATATTTAATTTACCGGTATAATTAGTTATAGGAACTTTGAAAGGTCTCTTCAAGGTTATTAACGGGGAAGACTTCAAATTTTTTTTATAGATTTAAAATTAAATATGAAACAGTAAATTTTACCCCAAACAATAAATGTAAATATGTATATAATTAAAACATATCTAATTTGGGCTCTCGATAAATTCGGGAAACTCCCTAATTTGATCGAAATTTTGAGTCACAATTCAAATCGATATTAAAAAGATTATTATGTATTAGAAAATGTTTCGATAAATTAAGTTAACTATTGCAAGTTGGGCAAACAAAATCACGGCCCCAATAAAGCCCAAATTATACAGGGTTCGCTCTAATTAAAATCAGAGTTTGGAACAGCTATCGGAAACAATGTGGTGGCGAATCTAGGAACCGAAAATCGTAATATGCCATTTATAAATTTCCTGGATTTCTACAAAAGTTAAGAAACTGTAAATAGAATAAATTTTTCTTCTGGGTTCCAAAACTCTGAATAAAAATTAAGAGCATTAATAAAAAAAAACAACAATTAACTAATATTTTTTTAATTTTTTTTTTTTACAAATGCTAAAAAGAAGAACCAAAAAAAATCATGTTAAAAAATTTTTATTAATAAAATATTGAAACACATTTAAATTAAATTTATAAAATTATATTTCTTATAAAAAAGTTATTTAAATAACAAAATACCCAAGTTATAATGATTGTAAAAATAAAATATTCCAAACAAAATATTGTTACATTATATTTAAGATGAATTTGAATAAAATTACCCCCCCCCCTCCCTTCAAAAAATAAATAAATAATTGTTATTTCCCCTTAAAAAATGGTTTTTTGTCTACTTGGTAGCTACGATTGATTATTAATTCAAATAGTTTTAATTCTGGGATAAAATTTGAAGAAAAAAAATATATAAATGTTCAAATTCAATAAAGATAACAAGTATTTAATGTTTGAAAAAGCTTGGCTAACAAAATAAAATTGTGCATTATTCAATTTTTTTTTTCATAATATTCTTTAAAGAAATAAGTAACATAAAAAGAAAAATAATTTCATAAGAGTTGCCTTTATTTTACTGTACTTATTAATTATTAAATTAAATGATAATCAATAAATTATCATTATTTATACAACAAATATTTAATAACTAATAAGTGATTTTGGGTTAAAAAAAATTTGCTAAATTAAATATAATTATACAATTATCACCACTGATAATGTTACAATCATGTATAAATAATTGGAGTTATGAGTTAGGTCAATTTCAAGTTATTGTGTTTCTTTACAAGCCATTTTTGACAGATCAGAAGAGTAATCATATGAATGTTAGATGATCCATCTAATTTTAGAATTTTCATAAAATAGACATACAACATTTTTAAGGTATAATAATTATATTAAATCTACCAAATAAGTAATGATATAAAATTGATTAATCCTATTAGAGTTTTTGATATATTATAAAAAATTTGATAGAGCATTTTTCATCCAATTAACAGGCTCAATTAAAATTAACCCTATAATATAATATGGGGCACATAAATAGGGGCAATTTACCATTTGCATTTATTTTACATTATGGGATCCAAATAATAAAGTTTTTTTATTTTATAATAGTAATACACTATTTTAAACATGTTTTTACTATAGAATTTTTATGTACTATTTGATATTTACTTTTGAAAAATTCATCATTTAAATAAAAGATATGTTGTTAAAGATGAACATTATTTTTTATGAAATGTAGCTTAAAATCATCTTAAAAAATACTTGCTTTTATTATTATTTTTTAATTGATTGTTATTAAAAATTTATACAATTGGGGAAAGAGGGTGTTGTAGGGGAGTATCCACTTTTTGTATATAATTATATTAAAAATATTGTTGATCTGAACCACATTAAAAATCTAAAAAAATACTTTAGAAATGCCTCATTGTATAAAGTAGAAAAAAAAATTAATAATAGCATAAGTACCAAATAATATATAAAATTAATTAATAAAATCATAATTTATACATTGGAATTATTTATATCACTTCCAATGTCTACACCTTCCAAATCAATGTCAGCTTTATTTCTGGTTTTGAATCGTTTAAAATTGCTAAAATTTAAATTACAACTAACATCAGGACCCTTGATAAACTTCAATGTTTTACCAAAATTTGGTATGGATATATTGACGTCTCTTTCCTTAAGAGGCTTAGATATATTAATATAAAGTTATATATCTATATATATACAAATTTACTTTTTTAAATGAATTATTTATTATAGATGAATTATGTAAGGAAATTATTTCATGATTTTGTTTTGATAAGATGCTACTAGGAGCGTAACTTCTTCTCTATTAATAAACTATAAATAAAATAAATATAACAATTTACCATTTTATGATCTTATTCTTATTCCAATCACGTAATACTCATTTGAATAAATCTTGAAATTAAAATAATTTGAATTTTACAGGAGCAATAGTAAAATGACAAAACAACTAAATCTAGACCGCACTATTTCACATGGTTACTGTTTTAGTTTCCATATTTTTTTAAAATATATTTTATTTGATAAATAAATTTTTTGAGATGTATTATTTTCGAAATAGCAGGATTATATTTTGTAAAGATCACTTTATTATTTGTTGATTTTTTATGTTTTAATTTATTTTAAAAGAAGAAAAATAAGAATATAATTACAAATAAATTGTAGGGGCCCATAGCAGTGATATATTTATATATATACATTTTTAAAACTATAAATTACCTTTATGAAAATGTTACAGAGAACGACGGACCGAAGGTTTGATATGAAAATATCGCAATGTTATTATCATAACCCCTATATTAACTTAACAATGCTAATGCTACCAAATGATAAGTGTTTACGGTACAATATATTTTCCTTTAATATAAAATGAGGTAAGGAGGCCGCTGTATTATCCAAACTATTAATAAAATTAGATTCTTTTTAAAATAATTTTTCCATAACTATGCTATATCTACTATGTCATTCTTTATCAGTTATCTTTGTAAGTAATTAAATGCTAAATTTTCTAAAGATATTATGGAAAAGAAATTTAATTCTATCAAAATCATTTTTCCGCAAGTACGATATAATATATGTTATGTTTTAATGGTATTCACTGGGAAAAAAAAATATTAAATTCTTATATAAAATTATTCGCGAATATCATAGTACTATTATATTGCTATTATTCTTTGGTGGAAATTTTATTTTTAGAGGGAATTATTCCAGTATATCAAAATAATTTTTTGGAAATAACATTCGAAATTATAGAATCATAGTAAATTATTTATCTATAAAAATAGGGGATATGTGCATGAGAATTTGTTCATAAATTGTTTATATTATATTCTATATTCTAATTGGAAAAGTATAAAATTCACGCTTCTAAAAAATTTTGATGAAATATTAAAATAATTACATTTTATCCTAATTGGGGAAATATAAAATTTATAGTATTCAGTGGCGTCAGCTTTTACAATCTGAAAGGGCTTGAAAAAATTCTTTAAATTATTTTCAAAATTACCTATTTTTTTTAACTAACATAAAAATTACTTCTTTTTTTATAGCTAACTTATTTTTTTTTCATTGTATAAAAAAACAAAAATTTTTTGGGTGCTCTTCAAATTTTTTACGAGGCTCGCCCCTAAGCCCAAACCTGCCACCTAATGACGCTACTGACGGTATAACAGTGAAATTGTAGCTTGGATAGGATACTTTTTTTTATTCATGAAACGAATCAAACGGCGCCCTTTTATAGAGAAAAAAAATCTGTATTTCTTAATTGTTACCTTATATGGAAAAAAGCCGAAGTTCTTATGGGAAGTTCGTAACAAAGACAATTTTAACGACGTCTTCCTATAAACAATAGCCGCATTTCTTAATTCTAACTAAAAAGTTGTTAGAGGTAAGGTATTTTCTGTGAGAATTTTATGGACAACCAAGATGTGCTGAATGCATGAATATATAGTTTGGAGCAGGGTTGGCCAATTGATCGGAGGAAAATTTGACCTTAAAAAATATGAGGAAAAAAAATTAAAAATATGTTTGAAAAAAGAAAAAAACGATATGAATATAGTGTAGAATGCTGCTTATTTTTTGGGTCCCTATTATTATCAAGGGGAACATCTTACTAGGAATTTAATGAAGTATGTGATATAATACAATAATTAGACATTTTACATGGTGGTGATGATCAAAATATTTCAAGCGATAATAAAATTTTTAAGTAAAAGTGGTATCTTTAATAGTAAATTATGTGGAAAAAAATAAACTTCCACAAGAAACAATCATACTGAAGTTAGTGGAATGAATTTTGCCCGCCATGCCCATTAAGAGTTCTATTCTTCAGAAAGATTGATTTGGAATAAAATTGTAACTAAATGGAAATCGATTCAATCTCGACAACAGGAAAATTGATTAAAAAAATGATTGAATATTTATCAGATCAGACTGGCATTGAGAGCCAAACATTAATTATCGAATCACGATGAATTTAAAAAAATATTATAAAATTATTCATTTTACTATTATATAGAAACTAAAGGTTATATTCACTTAAAAATTATTTGTATTTGACCGGTCAAATGCACAACCCTGGTTTGGAGTAAGTAAAAATCATCCTAAATATATATTTATATTGTTACATGTTTGTATAACATGTATTTTTGTTTATATTAACATACTTTTTCATTGTAGAAGGTTTAAGGCGATGATATATATAATTGTAATTATATATTACATGTTGTAAATTGGATAACGTGATTTGAAACAATTGATTTACGTTGTATATATAAAGAGTATTATTATAAATGTTTATCAGTTATCTTTTGTAAATAAAGAATCGATTTAAAATATTTAAATTAAATTCTTCATATTGAGAAAAATCCCCACGAATTGCTATTTCTAACTTACAAACTAACATCTCCGCTTGGCAACATATATTATTCGTCATGTATTATCAATTCCCCCTAGCACTCGGGTTTATTAATGGGGAGGGTGTTGTAATTTTCATATATTTTATTTGATAATAGATGTATTAATTTGGAAATAGCTGATTGATTATATTTATTACATTAAGAAGATATTGTAAAGATTACTTCATTATTGGTGGATATTTTTTATGCTTAAATTTATTTAAAAAAAAATAAACAAAGAATACTGCAAATTAATTATAGGATATCACCTTTAACGGTGATAAACATATATATTGTTTTAAATTAATTGTAAATCACCTTTATGAAGAAAGTTACTAAAATATTTTAATAAATTATTTTGTTTAACTGATGAGAGAAATTGCCTAGTTGAATATCAAGCCCGTACACTACTACATAAAACTAGTATTGTTAAACGACCCTATTTAAGTCGATTTTTAAAAATGGCCAAATTCCTTCGAGATTTGGCTATTTGAGCTCCAAACATTTGTTTATGAAAAAAATGTTCAGGTTTAAATAATATTATTTTAGCTACAACACTTCTACTTACTATTGTATATCAATGATGTTAATAAATAAAAATCCTAAGATTGTTGTATTAGTTACATAATAGAAAGATAAAAATATTACTTATATAATATTCAAAAAAAAAAATCTTCTCTTTCCTTTTAATTTTAATTAAAAGTAAAACAGTTTTATTGATTAAATTTCTATCATTTCCAAATAAAACTTAAAATAATGTTTGTATAATAAATTCATTGATTCATATATATATATAAAAACATAATGTATAATGATTAAAAATTGGCTATGATATAATTATAATATATTATAAATCATAAAGTAATACAATAACTTATATTTTTATTTAGTTTTAAAAACAATGATAACAAAATATTTTATATTTCAAATACTTTTTTAAAAAATAAAATAAAAATTGCATGCTTTTAAATTTGGTTTCATCAACAACTATGGTTATCATAAAGAACCAATTAATTGCAACTAATTAGGTAAGACTGGAATGAAACTATGCGCTATGGTTGTGGACGACAGGGAGATTACTTTAGCCAGGCTCTATAAGTTATAATTTTCGTGATCGCTCATGGAATATATGCCGGCAGTTTAATTTCCTAACCATGAAGTATAAACATCAGTATCGGGATTATTGTCGATCTTCAACTTCAGCTGATTTAAGAAGAAAATAATAAAAATGAACAATTCTTAGCATGAGCCCATAAAATTTATTTCTTTTTAAAAAAAGGTCTTATTTTGTGATTTTTGATAAAGTTTCGGTGGCCATAATTCGATATTGTTTTATTTATTTTTTGCATTTTATATCATAAATTCGAGCGCGTTATTTTAAATTTTAAAATTCTAATTTTTCCAAAAATGCACTCCAATAAGTGTAAAATACTCATCCCATTGAACTTTTGAAGGAATTTCAATTTATATTAAAAAAATATTTGGAAAAATAGGGTCGGTTTTTACATATATCGGAGGAATGCATTTGAGGCAAAATGAGATCTTTAAATTTTCATAAAAACGCGCTCAATTAATGAATATAAAATGCAAAAAATAAATCAATAAACCCCATCAAATTAACGCTCTATACCGCCATAATAAAAGATACATTAAAATAATTATGCATTTAATTCAAACATTCTTCTTCAGATATTTCTTGTAGAGACAGGAGAGGTGTAGAGCCGTGTGATTTTCCCGATTGGCTATTAGCGAAAGTACTATTACCGCCATTTGTATGTGATTCTTTGGCTACATTTTTTTTTAAAAAAAAGGTTAAGGTGCGCGTTAGTGTTGTTAAACGGGTCTAACTCACTATTTTAACCAGAAAAAATAGGTCTAAGTCTCGAGATTTCGATAATGTATGTCTAGACCATTGTTCCTTCTATGAGCAAAATCTTCAGGCTTGCGCAGTAATTTTTCTGAATGAAATATTGAGTTAGCCGTTTTAAAAAACCGCCTCAAAACGAGCGGTTTAAGAACACTAGGTAGCCATGTTAAACAGCTCGATTTTCAAAAACGGTTAAACCGAATATTTTAAACCCAATAAAATAATCCGCTAGCCCTTTAAGATTTTGCTCGTGTATGGTGGGAAAAAAGGTTTGTGCTCTTATTAACGAAATCTCGAGGTTCACGTAATATAATTTTTATTTCTTTTGAAAAAAAAGGCGCCTAATATTTTGTTTTACAATTTATGTATTATAAATAATACATACAATATAGGAAAGGAAGAAGAACTAATTATATAATATTGTAAACAAATTGAGCGTTTCGAACGATGCGTTGCTAGCGCAATGCATTTCAAATGGCCTCTTGCAAATTGGTAAAATTTGCCGCTTGGCGTTAGCAACCATTTAAAAAAAAAACGCAAATAGGTTTGCCTTTTTCTTACTTTTTTTTTATTCTTTGCTTTGTAATATTATATAATAAAATGTAATATAAATAACTTACTTATATCCTAAAAAGGAATATATAAAATTAAAAAAAAAAGGCAGGCGATAATGTAATTTTCAAAGACAAATCCTTTTTTTAGAACTTATTTAAAATTTTGAATAGACGATAAAAAAGGCAAACCTCAATTTAAACAAGGGGTGCGTTACGTATTTTTATTAAAAAATTACGGCAAAACGTAAACGCTCAATTTGTGTGCACTATTAGGCAGATAAAATCAGAGTCGGAATTTATTTACTAATTAAAAAATTAGCTTTCTAAGTTCTTAATCGGTTGCCGATAACATGTTAACAGATTTTTTTTTGTTGAATAATTTAGATAAACTAAATTAAAATGGATTAATGAAGCTAGTAACCAATTAAGGTAAGTTACAATTGTTTTTTTTTAAATGTAACTGTAATTAGTTTTTTTTAAGATGATTCTCCAAAATAATGTCCTATAATAAAAAAATTACATTTATAATTTATGATATTGAAGTTAGAATTTGCAAATCAAATTATCTTCGTACATCATTTTAAATTATTAAAACTATTGAAATATGGTATAAAACGCAATGAGATTTATACGTGAATCGTGGTCTTCCTGCGTAACCGCGCCAACGTTGCTGGCGATATTTTCGTCACCCAAATCGCTCACTACGAGAGAGGGAGGAGTCTTTCGCCTGGCGAAAGTGGGCGACGGGGAAGGGGACGGACTAGGAGAAAACGTAGAAGGGGAAGATCTCGAACCAGCTGAGTTAAATGGCCTAGATTTGATTAGTCGATCGGTTATGTTTTCCAAACAACGCTTAAATAAAAAAAAAGAGCGCTTAAAAATATAATAATTATATCTGGGCGATATTCGGACCGATACCCAATCAAAATTTATATTAAAAAATTACCGAAAAAAACATATAATTATATTATAAAATAATTTCACAGTATATTTTATTTTTTTTTAAGGGTGGTCGTCTCAAAATTTTTTTTTTAAAGAATTCCCAAAAGTTTCGAAGAAAATCGTGTTAAATTTTCGAAATTATGAACATGGTTTTTTTGATGACATATAATAAAACCTAGACTGACGATACATTCATTAAAAGTGTACATAAAAGAAAACAGCTGGGGACGCCATTTTGATTACCCGTATCATTACTAAAAAATTTAAACGAGAGGCCAATTTATTCCTATGTCTGACGTAAACTTCATTAAAGAATTGCCTGATCATCGAGATAATAAGGAAGCAAGTTATCAATTCAATTGTAGCTTTTAACTTGAGAATAATTACTATATGGGTTATACCAAAATGGCGGGTTCAGCTGATCTGTATTCAACTACGCTTTCAAATGTATTAATATGAAGGCATCGTCAGTATAGGTATTATTATATGTCATTGGTATTTTTAGAAAAGAAAAAAAAGAATAATTTTAAAAAGAAAGTTAATTTTTTCGACAAAGTTCACTAATTAAATTTTTATGATAATTTGGATTTAAAATTATGACATGGAAATTTACGATTTCAAAATTTTTTATTATTTCGGGATTGTAGATTAAATATCAGTCAGGAAAAAAAAACTGGGATGCAAAAAAATGTTCAACCTTATCTTTCCTCTATAAAACTAGGTATTTTTAAGGATAAATTATAAAAATAAAATGGCTGATATATGCAAATAAAAAATTAGTGCAAAATTGTTGCACCTTCCTGCCTCTTTCCTTCCTTCTTTCTCATTGGCATATGAATTTGGCAATAAAATAAAATGTATCAGCCGATACAGTTACTCTCGATATCAGTGAATCTTTGATCAAAATCCTAGTAAAAAGAAAGAAAGAAAAAAGGGAATGTAAATTTACCTCGTTAAGGGAAAATGATCTTTGGTGGGGATGTGCGCTTAGGATTCCTACTGGTTGATTGGTATATAAATTTCTGATGCTACCCCGTGAACCAAAATGGTGACCCGAGGCCGGAAACATGGTGGATGCTGAATGATATTTGCTCGAAGAAGACATTTCTTCGGGGTCCGGTTCGGGCTCGTTTTCTTCGGAGATTTTGGAAGGAATTGCCGCCCCGCCGGTTTTCCGGGTAAGAAGCAGACGAGTGTTTACCGAGGTGGCCATCTTAAGTTTTGGTTTTAGAAGCTCTACAGTTTTCGTCGAGAGAGCGGGAGACGTTAAAGGAGGCGGATATCTTTAACAATAATGATCATGTAAAATATTAATAGTTTTAAAATAAAATTAATAAACTTTAAAAGCACTGTCTAAAATTAGGCAAAATTGCTATATTTTTAACAAATCAATTTATTAAAACATAAATATTAGCAAAAAAACTTGTTTTCAATAATAGTGTTGTTAAAAAGCCCGATTATAGAGTAGTATTCAAAAAAATAACGACTCGAAATAATATTATGGTAGCCTAAAGATTTTGCTCATAGCTCAGAAATGCTTGAACATCTATTTGTCAAAATCTCGATGCTCACATTAGAGATCTGCAAAAGTAGGGCCGGGCTTAATATTTTTTTAAGAAAATTCGGGTCGGGTCGGGCCTTAGAAATTTTTTTAAAATATATCTTAAATTTATCAATTTTGTGTTGAATTTTTTATTGTATAATAAAATTAAGCGATTTTATTTATAGAAAGTAGACTCCAAATAACGTATTATATCGTTTATTTTGAGTAATTATAAAAATTAATTTATATATTTAAATAAATTCGGGCCGGCAAAATTTTTTAAAAAAAATTCCGGGTTCGGGCCGGGCTTAAAAAATTAGGCCCGATTCAGATCACTAGCTCACAAAATATAATTTTATCTAAAATCTTAATCAGACCGGTTGGGCTTTTTAACAACACTAGTTTTCAATTAAGTAAAGATTTTCAAAATTACCTGATCTTAAGGAAAAAAAAATAATTAAAATTCAATAAAAGGCATGAAACTTTGCTGAAACATAACAATTTAAAAATTTTTTGGGATATTGCTGTGCCCCGGTATAAAACCTACTAAAAGGAAAAAAAAAATATAATCTCTTCGTTAAAGAAAGAAAAAAATGTACTTTTCTTCCGCGAGTATCTTTTTGTAAAAATTATGCTGGGCCATTTGATGATGAGGATTGACGTTGTATTGATTGAAATTGGTCAAGTGGTTTATGTTATCGACGCTGTTGTGCTTGAGGGCGGCGAATTGTCCCGCTTTCTGAAAGTTAGCCACGAAATTCGACGAATGGGGTGAGACGCCGTGATTCTTTTTACCGTGGTGGTCGTAACTTTTGTCGTAAAGATTCAAGTTCTTGTCGCAATTTCGAATGTCGGAGAGGAACGTGGAAGGCGACATCGATATGAGTTCGGGAAGGGAGGAACAGGAAATGTTACTGCTGTAATATGATTGACTTCTTTTTATTTTTATATGGGAGGGGTTATCGAAATTAAAAAATGTATTTAGCTTGGGGTAAAAGAGGGACAAAATTATATAGAGCGCGTGACTTTCATTTATTAAAATGGTGGCATTGAGGGGAGCTTGAGATCACTACGCCAAATGATGGTCAAGTGCCCAAATTTAATTTTTTCGCGATCGGCAAAACAATGGCCGAAAGAACCGAGGTTCTTTAACAGCGTAGCCCATGTTTTTATTTTAAAAATATTCGAATCAATTTTCGAGTTTAGACTCAACTTAGAGTCTTAATTAAATTTTTTAGGCTAAAAGCTTGGACAAGCCACAATAGAGATGGTCAAAATTAGGCAATTAAACAACACTAGTAAAATTAGAAATGCTGTCATTTCCTGCTTAAATAATCTTAAAACTTTATCACTCACTTGTTGTATACAGGGTATTTTAAGCACGCAAAACGCTAACTTTAAAAAGAGCAAATTAAATGTGATGTTTTCCCACCCATGTTTATATAATATTTTTTTAAAATATATATAATGATATCGTCATATTAAATCATTTTCAGACAATAACATATCTATTAATAAAATTAATTTTTAAAGGTTTCCTATTATTACCTCAAAATAAAACAAAAATTATGTTAATTTTTTTTTCTCCACTCGCTTTCAAAAAACAATAAATTTCTCTTTATTTATTCAAATAAAAGGATAAAATATTTCGATTTACACAAAAATTTGCATAAAATTAATTATTTAATTTTTGAGATTAAAAATAAAAATATGCGAAAGATTTTTAAAAATTTTATAAAAACATACCAAAAAAAATTTTTTTTTTCTAAATAAAAGGCAAAAAAAACTAAAAAAAACATGAAAAAAACAAAAAAAATGACAATGACACCAAAATAGAGTGTCCTCGTTTTAAAATCTATCTAACCTATACTAAAAAGTAAGTATCCAAATTAAGTCAACCCAGATGCTCAAATTATTTAAAGAAAAAAACATACGTGCCCGACTCAGGGTATAATTCTAGAAAAGCTCGCTCAGAAAATCTTCTTAGAAATTAAGAAAAATATCTATAAAATTCAATAAAAAAATAATTACAATCCTTTCAGAGCGAAATAATAATTATAGTTCTTTTATAAGGAATAACAAAAAAAAACTATGAACTTATTATCGGGGCCATTGGTGGCGATTGACGAATCGTCGGCAGAGGAGGAGGCCTTGTATTTGAGCATTTTTTCCGCGAGGAGGTAATATGTCGCTGTCACGTGATTGTAGCAGTCCCTCTTTATTGATCTATTTATTTTGTGTATATTTTTGGTTAAAACTAATGACCATATGGTTAAATTAATTTAATTTCCCCTAACCTGTGCTAACGTAGAGGAATAAATAAATCCTCACATTTAGACTATCTGAGAAAAGCTGGTAAGAAAATGTTTTTTTGTATATGTTAGCGTCAATGTGTTATTCCGTCAACTTTAAATCATATTTTGCGCGCGTTTTTTTTTAAATTTAAAAAATCGGATTTTACCGGAAATGGCATGTTTAGAATACCTGTCTGATATTTATATAGGGTAAGGTATTTCCAAACATGACAGAATACATTTCCGGTAATATAGGCACAGGTGGTAGTATTGTAGAAATCTAATTTAAGTGCCTTTTTTTTTGAAGAACGGCTTATTCAGATTTCCCAAAAAATCTCACTTAGGCGCCATTTTGAATAACCGAGAATTCGCGCCAATTATGAATTCAAGAATAAATCGAGATTTTAGCCGAACAAAAAAATATTACCCGAAACCTCAAGATTTGGCTTACAGAGGACAGAAAGGATTTAACTAACTTCTTACCCCAAATCTAGAGAAAGCCATTAGAATTATTTTTAAAACTAAATTTTAAAACTAAATAATGTATGGACAAACTGTTTAATTTGGTGTTCCGTAGCTATCTCTCCCCCGACCATCTTGTTTATGATGGCCTTGTGAATTTCTTCCGTGATATCGGTGCGGGCGAAGAGGGCAGTGGTAGTTATCCCGTTATTGGACGTGTGCGACCTAAGCCACGGGTGATTGAGTATTTCTATGAGCTTGGCCCTTTTGGCGGGTTCTTTCACTAGCATTTTCTCGATTAAGCTTATTTTTTTTTAAATGTTTATTTTGTAAGCAAATCGTTTTCATGTTAAATAAAAATAAAATTTTGAAAAATCAGCTGGCAAATTAAATGAAAATTTAGCGGAAACTCACTCTTTGCACTCGACAGAGATTTGGGAAGGAATGGTGTATTTACAGTCTATAATCATGGTAATGGTCTCGTTATCATTATTTTCCAAAAAGGGGCACTTACCTACTACCAGCATGTAGAGCAAAACTCCCAAGCTCCATATATCTAACGATAATAGGAATAAAAAATTTTTATTAAAGTTTAAACATAATACAAATATTACCATAGACCCGACCCTAAACCCCGGTTACACCGGCCGGCCGGATTTTAATCTTTTTAAATATATTTAGGCCGGATCGGGCCTAAAAAAATTTTTTTTATTACTCGGGGCTGGCTGTATATTTTAAAACTAAATGTTTTAAATCGCCATTATTAACTATAAAAAATTAAAAAATAAATATATTTTTAATCCGGGCCGGACCTGAAAATATAAAACCCGGGCCGAGCCTACTGGGAAAAAATCCAGGCCGGAAATGGTATCCCTGAAGATCTCTAGTTTATATAGATACATTATAGAATAATCATTTCTCTGAAATTCAAGTAAAAGCGATCAATAAACAATCCGCTATGCGCGACTAGAAAATAAATCGGCTCTTGAATTTCATGGGGGCGGATAATCTATGTTTAAAGCGACATTTTTTTTTAAAATGCTTTTCTTGTAGTTTTTAAAAAAAACCAATTTTTAAATGATAATATATAAATATCAAGATGGTGGTGAGATATAATTTAGGTGGGTTATTATACCCCATAACCCGCAAAATCAATTTTTTAGCCCGAATCCCCTTTACCGGTCCTAATTTATTTTTTTGTTAGATCTAGGTCCGGTCCTTGACGGCCCAAATTTTTTTATTTTTAAAAAAAGAAGCTAATTAGGGAAGAAAATGTCAAAACTTAATAATATTTATTTTATTCTCTATTTTTGAAAATGTTTATTCATTAAAATAATATTCAGCAATAAACTAAAAATGGATGTTTCATCTTATTTCATTTAATTATTACAAAAATAAATATATAAAATATAATGAAAATGGAAAAATATAAATATTTTCCTACTTTCTTATTATAAATTTTTTTTTTAAATTGTGATATTTAAGGGATGCGCCGATATTAGAATGAAATGTATCGTTATTGTAGTATTTTTAATCCATATTCATTAGTATTTTAACTAGATACTTTTGTAGTACCTTTATTTCATATTAATTAGTATTTTAGCCAGATACTTTTGTAGTATCTTTAAATTGATATTTGTAGTATTTCAGCCATATTCACAAAATAATCTAAAATAATAAAAATATAACATTTTACAAAAATAATAAATAAACAAATTTAGAAAATTCTCGAACCTTGCAAGCATATCTAGGAATGACCCAATTAGACTGACGACGAGTTTATTAAAAGTGTATATCAATAAAAAACAGCTGGGGACGCCATTTTGGTTACCCATATAATTATTAAAAATTATAAAAGAGAGGCCAATTCATTCCTATGTCTGACGCAAACTTCATTAAAGAATTGCCTGATCATCGAGATAATTAAGGAAGCAAGTTAGCAAGTTAAATAGTAGTTTTTAACACGAGAATAATTACTACACGGGTTACCAAAATGGCGGGTCCAGCTGATTTGCATTCAACGACGCTTTCAAGTGCATTATTATGAACGCATCGTCAGTCTAGGTACTATTATATGTCATTGGAATGACCATAAGATAGCCATTAAATTTTTAAAATAAAAACAAAAATTTACCGGAAACATTCCTCAAAAACCGCTTTCAAAAAAAAACGTTCTGTTTGGGAAATCGCTTTAAAAATATATATTAAGGAAGAGTCAGACATCGGCAAATGAGATGAGCACTTATGTTTTGGATCGGTTTATAAGATATTTTTGCCGATCCGATACATAACATATTTTTGATAGATTCCAATTCTGACACCCCCCACTCCCCCCTCTTACAATAATTCTGTTTTATAACAAGTTTTTAATGTTAATATCGATATTCCAAGATGCTTATGTGATGCGCATTGAAAAAAAATTAACTGCGAATTCTAAGATATACATTTATATAAACGGGTTAGCCATTAAAAGAAATGGGAAAGGGAATATGACATTTACGAATCACGTGCCGTGCCTACATTTTTATTGATGTTAACGCCTGGCCAGACCTTGCATGACTCTAACATATATGTAAATTAGGTTGAACTTGCATTCAAAGTGGAAATTATAAAAGGGTAATGATTATATGACGTTAGATCACTTGCTAAACGATGACCAAAATTTTATTAAATAGCAATAAGAACCCATCTGTTTTATATATATTGACGAAATCACGTGGTCAAGTCTGATCTACTATATATCGTTATCCCTTCCCAAGGAATAAATCACCAAATTGACTTAAGAAAAAAAAACATGACCCCATGCTGGATTCGAACCCAGAACCATCTAATTGCGATATACGTACTGAACCGACTAGACCATATAACGCTTCAAAAAATCATTAAATTTTTTGTGCATACAAGTCTAAAATTACAACGTTATCTAATCTTTAAATAAAACACATAAAAATCAATAAAGTTTAATGCTACAGATCATTACTCATTATAAAAAGAGATTCTTAGGGTTGTTCAAATTTTCTAGATATGTCTCGATTTCAAAACTTTGCTAAGAGCAGGATTGGGAGTGAGTTTAAATAAATCAATTCTTGAACCTCGCTATAAGGTTCGGTTATTGTGTGACATGCGTCTCCAAAAGCGCGATTCGTAATATTTAATAAGATTTATTTTTTTAAAAAAAATATCAAGTAATTTTGATATTTTACGGGCTGATTTAAATGATAATCAAAGGGACCAATCACAGAAAAGTATCATTATAATGCCCTCTATCACAAACACAAAAAATATTCCTGTGGGCCCCTTGAATTTGGGGTTTAAATCTCTAAAAATCGATTTTCCCTGTGGGAGTCAGTTGTCAAAAGATACTTTTCAAATTTATTTAGAAACATATACATATCTAAATTTAGATATAGATAAATGACCTAAAAATGTAAGTAGACACAGATTAAAATTAAGTTACATTTTATTATAATTTTGAAAACAATTGTTTTTTATTAGGTCTAGATTAGTATCATTTGAAGACTTGACTAATCGTTGTCAATTCCTTTTTTAAAAAATAAATTTATGGCATTTGAAGCCAAGTCCAATCAAGTTTGAAAAATTTGCTGACAATATGTTGTTTCCTTTTCATTAGTATCAATAATACATCTAAAAATTCATAGTGTATTGTGGGCAAAATGTGCCTGTAAATAGGTACCACCGATACAGTTAAAAATATGGTACAGATACTTTTCATATAAATATATGTAAGGATAAAATATTTTTATATCAAGACGCACAGATTTTAACAACTTTAGGGGAATTGAGGGTGAGGTTTCTGAGGATAAATTGTAGAAAAAAATAAAAAATGGGCCAATCAACGTTATATATGTAAGAAATAAAAACCGGCCAATTTAGGATCATATCTCTCCCCGAGCAATATTTCCGGAGCGGTATATATTAAAGTACCGCAAGGAGTGCCCTTTAAGCCGTCGACTTCGGATCCGCAAACCGCGCTCAGCCCAAAGTCGGTCAATTTACAATGCGCGAAGATGGTGCTGTGTGTAATCGGGTCATTTGTGTAGATATTGGCTCTGGCAACGGGGGGTTTAAAAACGATGACGTTATCCAATTTGAGATCTCGGTGGGCCACGTTGAGTTTGAAGTGGCAATGGATAAGGGCCGAAGTTATCTGAACGAAGTAACAAGCCGATTCGGTCTCGGGGAGACCGACGGAGGTTACGACCGTTTCCGAAGAGGAGGAAGGGGGAAATAAAGAGCCCCGTTTCCGGGTTTTGTATTTGGAAAGGCTTTTTTTATTCGTTCTGGAATCGATTTCTAGCACATCCATATCGGTCAGACTTTCCTTCGGTGTAAAGTATCCGTCTTTATCGGCTAAATCGTCCGGATCTGGCGAATTTGCCGGGTTATCATCGGTATTGAGTAAAGATTCGTTCCACTTTAGCGATTTTTTTGGTGGCGTTACACGAATTTCTATATCGACATTACAATCCGGCGGCTTAAATACTAGGGTTGATTCAGCGTTCGATTCTTTTTGTTCGAAGTCAGCCCACTCCGAAAAACCATCTTCATCCTTCCCCAATTCCATTATCACTCCCAATCCCGATCCTGTCTCTACCTCCCCTTCCTCGACATCTTCGTTCTCTTCCATCACGACGCCCAAGGAAGACCGAGAACGGCTAGGGTAGGTTTCCAATTCCTCCTCAAAAACCCCTGGCAAACTGTTTAAATAGCCTCTCAAATCCGTATCTCCTAGTTCCATGACGAGACAACAATGGCTGGAAGTTTGAACTACTTCGAAAAGCCTGTGTTCGCGCCGCAGATTTCGTTACAAATTATTTTAATAATTATTACATATATATATAAGAAAAAATCGAACTTTTAAGCGGTTAGGCTCTGTCCTGGTTCGGCTTAATTTTTGATGCTCAATGCTGTTTAGCTTAGGATAAACAGCTTTTCAATTAGGACACCCTTTGTTTTAAGTATTTGGCGGCAATGTTGTTTTTCTATAACCTTTTAGGTGTTATTTAGTCAAAGCTATGGCTGTTTGGTAATAAGTTTAAGTCTAATCATGGCAGAGGCCTTAGTTCTACAAAAACTTTAGATCTAAAAACCCCAATCAGCGAAATTAACCATACACAAATTCGTTTTTTTTCTACGAAAAAAATATTCTATATTTATTACGAAAAAGATTGTTAACACGTGCAAATAATTCAAACCAAGAAAGAAAGGATGATTAATAATTCTAAAACATCTGGCGATTAATCCGAATATTTTGGTCATAATATCCTGTTATTTTCTCCTGGAAAAATAAAAACTCAATTTTATAAAGAATCAAAAAATAAGTGAAAACTGACACTGAATTCCTAACCGCACGATAAAATTTGATGGGTTTATCAGCTTCCACAAATGAAGAGAGCCAAAGAAAATTGAATAAAAATGATAATGAAGGGCGAATTTATAGTAAACACGTCATGTTCAAATCAGTGCATCATTTACAAAATCATGCCAAGAAACAGACATAATTTATAACTGTTGGAGCGTTATGACAACGCTATG